CACAGCAAATTTAGAGGATAGCTAGGATTATCATCCTCCACACTTCTTAAACGAATCGGAAAAGCCTCAGTACAGTATGTATGTGCCCCAGCTCACACAATAGATAAGTAGCATAATAGACTTCAGATCCATTTTATTCCCTGAGTCCAGCCCCTATTAAGATTCTACACAGCAGGGAGAGGACATGAAGATACAGCAAAAGACAATGAAAGACTCATGAGAAGGGAGGGTAATCAGAGAAAGAGAAGAGAGTTTCTGAGCCTGACTTTAAAAGAGGGAAGGAAATAGAACAAGTAGGAATGGAGTATACACTCACTTAAAGAGAAATAAACAAATGGGAAATGTGTATTTCCTAAATAGACTTCCATACTTGGGGGAGAGCATCTGTGTAAGGGAATAATGAGAAAAGAATGGTAAAGTAGGAAACAGACGGTGATTGTGCAAAGGCCTTGAAGCAGAGAAGTTGATTTAAGAGTGGAAACTCAATGGAAAGGAAAATCTGCTTAAAAGAAGTGTTTAAAATGTTTCAGTGTATGACTGTAAAATGGATATATGGGTAGAAAGTATATAGAGAGACACTGAAAAAAAAAAACAATCTAAATTGACTTTAGTCCTTTCAGCTCAAAAACAGTGTACCATTGCATTCCCCTCCTCTTTCAAAACGGAGGCAAGCTTGAGCTCTGCGTTTGGGGTATGAGATGCGATATAATTTTCTTTTCTTCCTACAGGATATGCTTTCCTCTATTAATCAAAAAGGGTCACTCACAGAATGCATCTTCAGCAAATCACCCAATATAAAATCAACCAGGGTCCTAAAGGAGAAACTAAATTCTGGGGTCAAAGTGGACCTGTACAGCGAATCTGTTCATGTGGTCGCATCCGTCTTAAAGGTAGGGAAGGTTCTAGCATTATCCACACACGAGTAACTGAAGCTATGATTGGTGTCTTTCATCATGACTGCTCAAGAACCATAATGGGCATAATAGATTAAGAACCTGACAAGCTGAAAAACGCTTGACAAAATCAAAATTTAAGGAAGCTACTTTAGGAGTTAAAAGCCCCATATGTTAGAAATTCTTTCTGTTTTCACCACACACCGCCTACCCTGCCTTCACTCCTGAAGTCGCCATGCAAAATACTAATACTGAAAGGACTACTAGTCATGATAATAAATTTCAAAATACGCACTGACACATACACACTGTTTACCCATGCAAACATTCTCACCACCCTCCTAGTGAAGGCAAAGTTTCCAAAAGAAATAGAACAGGGAAAGAATTTAATCCATCCACCTTGGCACTTATGAACAGCTCTGAACAACCCTATGTTAACGTAGTAATGACTACAGTCTTAGAATCTCAGTCACATTTGGTTTTCCCTTGTCCCCCATTAATGTTTGAAGATGTGATCAATAGCAAAGTCCAGAAATGACTTAGGTAACCACTCCTACACTGGGGCTCTAGTGATATCCAGTAGTAATATACATATAGAAGAATGCTGATACATTACGTAGCAAGATGAGTGTTGCCCTCTGTAAGGTGAGCACATGGAATCGATTTTCTAGCAAGAGTTAGGAGGTTCCGGGCGCCTGGGTGGCTCAGTTGGTTAAGCGACTGCCTTCGGCTCAGGTCATGATCCCGGAGTCCTGGGATCGAGTCCCACATCGGGCTCCCGGCTCAGCAGGGAGCCTGATTCTCCCTCTGACCCTATCCCATCTCATGCTGTTTCTCTCTCTCTCTCTCTTAAATAAATAAATAAATAAAATCTTTAAAAAAAAATCATTAAAAAAAAAAGAGTTAGGAGGTTCCTTCCTGATTCGGTGTTATAAGCACCGACTAGGAAGAAGGTATGCACATGTGGGTATAGTGCTTAGACATTTCTAAAGTTTTCTCTTCCTGAAGTTGATGGATCTTGGTGGAGAAACAGACTCTGCAACTTTGGCCTTGATAATATCATGTCAAAAAACTGGGAATGGACCTAATCTAGAAATGAATCTATCCTCAGGACCTCAGTGAGTCTACTATTAGACTCTCGACTTTTAGACAGTTAAGAAAAGGAAGAATGAAGGAATTATGAGAGTAGCTTTCTTCCAGGGAGCACACCTACCCCGAGTGAGAAGACCTAGTTCTTTCCTAATATGTGTGCAAGAGCCCACCTGTTTCTGTTTTGATTGTTTCAGGCCTTTTCTTGCTAGAGTTAAGAGCTAGCACTGTGTCTAAAACAAGCAACATGGGTAAGCGTATTTCTGTCCAAGAAGCTAATAGGATTTAGGATGGTCTATAGCCAGACCCTGTCAGTTTGTGGCACTTTGCAAAAAAAGCACTCACAAAAAATAAGTTCCAGATGATAGTAGGGAGCTTTATCTTCATTTCCACCACAGCCTAAGCTCTGCTTTTATGCCTCTAAGTTTTAGCGGGAGAAAATCCAAGCACCTGCTCCTGCGTGTGCAAGTCAATGGAGAGTCAGAGCCGAGCTCCGTGTGGGTCGCAGTTTGGGTATCTGTGAAGGAATTGGGGGCTGAACTGAATTTTTTAACTACATATTTTCCCTGTAATATTTCCAATACATATTTTCTGTAATATATATACATATTTATTTTTATCTCCACAAGGATTTCCTAAGAAATATCCCAGGAAGTTTATTTTTGGCTGATCTCTATGACAAATGGCTCGGTGTTATTGATCAAGGGAACGAAGAGGAGAAGATGACTGCAGCGCGGAGGTAATGATGCAATAATTACTCTACTCTGGTCATATCTCCAAAATACAGCCAACATACTATTAGGAAAACATTGGCTTACGTTTTGCAGCTTTGCCCACTATAATCATGACCAACGCCAAAGACTTTCAATTCTTCACACCCATGGGGGTCAGCTTCAGAATAGAGGCACGCTTTAGGGCTATTATTGTTCTTCTCCTGATCTTATTAATGTGGACTCCTTGGCCGTTTGACACCTTCTGGATCCATGAAACTTGTAGACGAAATTCCCTGGTTCAAGACACATGCAAGAGCATCACCTGCCAGGGCTATGACCTTAAAAGTCTGTCAAACATTTAACTAACCAGAGAAGTGTTTATCTGGCTCAGGAACTAAATTCAGTGCAACAATTTTGTCTACATTCATGCCTGGAACTCTGCTAGAGAGGGGTTGTGTGCTAGATATACAAGGATGTATCCTTTTCCCTGTCTCTGTTTTTCCAACCTCCTAAGTGGAATCATTTACCTAATTTAAAGTGTGTTTTTCTGACCTTAGGCTTTTAGCCCAGCTGCCAAGAGCAAATATTGTTCTCTTGCGATACCTTTTTGGAGTGCTATACAACATTGAGCAACATTCCTCATCCAATCAGATGACAGCTTATAACTTATCCGTTTGTATAACCCCAAGCGTTCTTTACCCACCTGATTCCGGCACCTTGGAATTGGAAGACAACTTGATAAAAAAGGTAATGAGAGCTCTCATTTTTGTCGCCCAAGGGGTAGAATCCCTACTTTGAACCGGACATGTGCAGTAGTAACTCTGACGGATGGAACTTTGTGAAGTGCACATTTTCATTAGGCCCCTGTGGAGTGGCAGAGTTCTTTATCCTACTCTGGCAGGGTCTGGGAAGGGGTGTCGTTAAACGGGAAACTCGGAGCAGTCGAGTCACTTCTTCACCCTCCAGGAGACTAAACACTAGAGTGACTAAACGAGAGAGAGAAGAGTCGTGTGATACGATAGGAAAGAACCTGGGCTTTGGAGCTTCACCAGTCAAGGTTCAAATCTCAGCCTAATCCCTGAGGGACTCGTAACCTTGGGCAAAGCCATGGTTTCCTCACTACACAATGGCGACAACAGCCAGCTCCTCCGGTCATCACTGGCACATCCTGGGTGGCTTGGGCAATATGAGCCCCCATGCCTCCAAACACATTGGCCTTCCTCTGCCAATTGTGGCTCATCTAGAAAAGTACTCGGCTACTATTTCACCTCTGCTACGTCATTTGGAAACTAGCAAGAGATTCCAGAATATCCTAATAAGATGACAGGTCTTCCCCAAGCTCACACAGAGAGAGCCAGCATGAGGCAAAGCAATGCGTGAGAAGGGACTGAAGTTAGACAGACAGATACATTTTCTCTCCAGCTGTGTGGGTTTTCCCTCACAACCCCACCAAAATCTCTGCTTCCCAACTTTAAGATACTTCTTCATTTAAGAAATGGTTTTCTTAAGTTTTTGTTCATACTTTATAAAGTTTCATAAGATGTTATACATCAGTTGCAGCTCAATAAAACTGGAAACAAAATTTAAAAACAAAAAATAAGTAAACTTTAATAAGGTAGGCTACTTTGAAAATTATCCTTGTTTTATTTATATTTTGATATGTATTTATTTGAGAGAGGGAAAGAGAGAGCGTGAGCGGGGCAGGGGCAGAAGAAGAGGGAGAGGGAGAGGGAGAAGCCCAAGCCCATTCCCCGCTGAGCACGGAGCCCAAAGTTGGCTCCATGTGGGGCTGGATCTCACCATCATGAGATAGTGATCTGAGCCAGAATCAAGAGTCAGATGCTCAACTGAGGGGCCCCAAAATTATCCTAGGCTTAATGATGTAACCACTGATACCAAAATGTTGGCTATTAAACTAGGCCACATACTAAAACTTTAGCCTACTGATTAGCAGTATTTTAAAATGTGTACCCAAAATACACGGAAAAGTATCACTCTTCCTAAGTTATTTCTTAGAGAATTCTGGTCTCTGTTTTTTATTTTATTATTTTTTTTAAGATTATATTTATTTTCTTGACAGAGGCAGACACAGCGAGAGAGGGAACACAAGCAGGGGGAGTGGGAGAGGGAGAATCAGGCTTCCCACTGAGCAGGGAGCCCGATATAAGGCTGATCGCATCACCCTGGGATCATGAGCTGAGCTGAAGGCAGACTCTTGACCGATTGAGCCACCCAGGCGCTCCTGGTCTCTATGTATTTTTATCAGTTCTGAATTTTTCTGGGAAATCTTTCACATTCTTTCTTAGATCCAAGGTCTATATACATAATGTGATTTATAACTATGCCCTATGGAAAAGAGCACCCCATTCTTGTCTTTTTGTGTTACAGATTTCTCTTGTACAATTTCTCATTGAAAATTGCCTTAAAATATTTGGAGAAGACATCACTTCCCTCTTGGGAGAGAACTCAATGAGTCCTGGTAACAGCGAGCAGGCTGCAGGTACCGGGAATAATTTTATTGGCTTTAGTGAGAAGCAGACAGCAAGGCTGCCAGGGGTCATGGGAGATGCTTAGACAGAGCTGTTCTGGAGCCCAGAGCATCGCCAGGGCAAGGATTTCCATGGGCTCCTTCTTCCGAAGGCTGGCTCACAGGTCAAGGGAGGTTCCACACTGTTGTGAGACCAAAGAAAGGATAAGATGAGGTCTCTGACTTCAAGAAGTTTCTTGTGTAGATCATAACAGAATTAGGACTCATCATGGTATGCCACAGTGTTTGGGAACTTTTTCTCACAAAATTTAAATGGGTGCTATATATATATCTATGTAGTTATATATATTACATAATTATATACTGATACTATATAAATATATAAACATAATGTATATATTTATGTATATTACATGTGCGCTGGTTGAAGCCAGAGAAAGGGGCCTTTCTTCCCCTCCCTCCTCTTTTGGCTCAGGGGCTCTTGAGGCACCACAGGATTCCAGTGCCCTTTGAAATGGGTTGAAAAGAATTGGCATCTTTGAGAAAAAAGAACTTGACTTGATGTCAAACAACCTCTCCAGAGTGTAAATTCCTGTACCCCCATTTACCAGCTATATTATCTTTGGCCCGTTATAGCAGCTAAGCATCAGTTTATTCATCTCTAAAATGTGGATAAAAATAATGTCTAAATCTTAGAATTGTGGTGTAGAATAAATAAGATGATGGATGTAATCCAAAAAAAGCCATTAATAGCACTAGGAGAAGTGCCCCTGACACTAGAGGTAGTATGATTTGAGCCTAGCTAATCAGACCTAACTGGCAGCAGTCCACCTTAGAAGGTAGACTTTCGATTCAGAACCTGGAGACACGTATCATCAATCCCTCCATATTTTTGACATTTCTTGTTTTCATGACACGTACCACATACTTTGAGGAAAGTTTTAGGAAAATACAAGTCATCAGGAATTAAGATGAGTCTGAGGCACCTGGGTGGCTCAGTCGTTAAACATCTGCCTTCAGCTCAGGTCATGATCCTGGGGTCCTGGTACCGAGCCCCGAGTCGGGCTCCCTGCTCCGAGGGAAGCCTGCTTCTCCCTCTCCCCCACCCCCTACTTGTGTTCCCTCTCTTGCTGTCTCTCTCTCTCTGTCAAAAAATAAATAAAATCTGTAAAAAAAAAAAAAAAAGGAAAAAGAAGGTTCAACATATTAAACAACAACTACTACTACGAGTACTCTCACTTCTTCCTTAGACTCCAGCCTGAAGACTGTGAAAACCCGTTCTTTCAGAGATAGGGCGTTTTGTCGGGGTTCCAGCACTTCCCAGCACAACCAGTGCACAGCCCCACCTTCCGCAAAGCCAGGACAGCTCTTTGGAGTTCCCCTCATGGATGTGTGTGATAAAGACAACTTCTCCTTCCCAATTCTGGTAGGTCATCTCATTTTGGTCTTCAATAGCCCTCCTGAGAAGGGGAAACTCTGAGAGGCCAAGCGTCCTCATCCAAATCTATCCCCAAATGAAGATGTCATTAGACAGCCCCTGGCTTTGGTTGAGAAGCTCTGTTACTGTTATTTCAAAGAATAGAATCTGATTTCGGTCCTGCAGAGTCATGAGGCAAATACAAAAGGAAAAGTCATTCTTCTCCATTCCACTTGGGTCTTGTTTCCACAAAGACATGCGGAGGCTTGTTCAGATCAGTCAAAATGGACTCTGTGTATGTGAGTCTCTGAGAGTCCACCTCATCTTCACACTCTCCCTTCATTGCCTTCCTGATCTCACATGAGTCTCAAGTCTCCTTCAGCGGAGTCTACTCAGTCTAACAATTGTAAACATCTGACACAAGCATAGACTCATCCTCTGGCAAATAGGAATCTGTTAATCCTAACAGAATATGTCAAATGAAAGCCACAGAGTTTGGTCTGTGTTATCTCAAACTGCTGTAGTGAATTGTCAGTGTGGACATTCACTGAGTATTCGGTGTCTCTGCAAGCATTGTACGGGATGTAGGGAACGTTCCGCTAGCTATGAAGAAATGTATCATCTTAGCTAGCATGTTACCTGCTAGCTACTACCCCAGATCCTTGCTTCACAGCAAATTTAGGGGCTAGCTAGGATTATCATCCTCCGCACTGCCTAACCGAATCAGAAAAGCCTCAGTACAGGATGCGTGTGCCCCAGCTCACACAATAGATAAGTAGCATAATAGACTTCAGATCCGTTGGATTCCCTGAGTCCAGCCCTTATTAAATTTCTACACAGCAGGGAGAGGACAGGAAGATACAGCAAAAGACAATGAAGGACTCTTGAGAAGGGAGGGTAATCAGAGAAGGGGAAGAGAGTTTCTGAGCCTGACTTTAAAAGAGGGAAGGAAATAGAACAAGTAGGAATGGAGTATACAGTCACTTAAAGAGAAATAAACAAATTGGAAATGAGTATTTCCTAAATAGACTTCCATACTTGCGGAAAAGCATGTATGTAAGGGAAAAATGTGAAAAGAATGGGAAAGTAGGAAACAGACGGTGATTCCGCAAAGGCCTTGAGACAGAGAAGTTTGATTTAAAAGTGTAAACTTAGTGGAAAATCTGATTAAAAGAAGTGTTGAAAATGTTTCAGTGTATGACTGTAAAATGGATATATGGGTAGAAAGTATATAGAGAGACACTGAAAAAACAGCAATCTAAATTGACTTTAGTCCTTCCCGCTCTAAAACATTGTACCATTACATTCCCCTTTTCTTTCAAAACGGAGGCAGGCATGGTATATGAGATGCCATATACTTTTCTTTTCTTCCTACACGGTATGCTTTCCTTTATTAATCAAAAAGGGCCACTCGCAGAAGGCATCTTCAGAAACTCAGCCAATATAAAATCCCGCAGAGTCCTAACGGAGAAACTAAATTCTGGGATCAAAGTGAACCCGTACAGGGAATCTATTCATGTGTTCGCATCCGTCTTAAAGGTAGGGAAGGTTCTAGCATTATCCACATGTGAGTAACTGAAGCGATGATGGGTGTCCTTCATCATGACTGCTCAAGAACCATAACGGGCATAGTAGATTAAGAACCTGACAAGCTAAAAAACGCTTGACAAAATCAAAATTTAAGGAAGCTACTTTAGGAGTTAAAAGCCCCATGTGTTAGAAATACTTTCTGTTTTCACCACACACGGCCCTCCGCACCTTCACTCCTGAAGACTCCATGCAAAATACTAATACTGAAATGACTACAGTCATGATACTAAATTTCAAAATACGCACTGACACAAACACACTGTTTACCGAAGCAGACATCCTCACCACCCTCCTAATGAAGGCAAACTTTCCAAAAGAAATAGAACAGGGAGGGGCGCCTGGGTGGCTCAGATGGTTAAGCGTCTGCCTTTGGCTCAGGTCATGATCCCAGTGTCCTGGGATCGAGCCCCGCATCGGGCTTCCTGCTCAGCGGGGAGCCTTCTTCTCCCTCTCCCTCTGCCTCTCTCCCTCCTCATGCTCTCTCCCTCTCTATCTCTGTGTCTCAAATGAATAAGAAAAAAAAAAAAAAAAGAAGAAATAGAACAGGGAAAGAATTTAATCCATGCAGCTTGGCACATATGAACAGCTCTGAACAACCCTATGTTAATGTAGTACTGACTACAGTCTTAGAATCTCAGTCACATTTGGTCTTCCCTTGTCCCCCATTAATGTTCGAAGATGTGATCAATAGCAAAGTCCAGAAATGACTTAGGTAACCACTCCTACACTGGGGCCATAGTGATATCCAGTAGTAATATACATATAGGCATCAGGAGACAGGAGAAGAATGATGATACACTAGGTAGCAAGATGAGTGTTGCCCTCTGTAAGGTGCACACATGGAATCGATTTTCTAGCAAGAGTTGGTAGGTTCTTTTCTGATTCTGTGTTATAAGCACTGACTAGGAGGAGCATGAGCACTTGTGGGTATAGTGCTTAGACATTTCTAAAGTTTTCTCTTCCTGAAGTTGACGGATCTTGGTGGAGAATCAGACTCTGCAACCTTGGCCTTGATAATATCATGGCAAACTAACTGGACAATTGTCCTAAACTAGAAATGAATCTATCCTCAGGACCATAGTGAGTCTGCCATTAGACTCTCGACTTTTAGACAGTTAAGAAAAGGAAGAATGAAGCAATTGTGAGAGTAGCTTTCTTCCAGGGAGCACACATACCCCGAATGAGAAGACCTATTTCTTGCCTAATGTGTGTGCAAGAGCCCACCTGTTTGTGTTTTGATTGTTTCAGGCCTTTTCTTGCTAGAATTAAGAGCTGGCGCTGTGTCTAAAACAAGCAACATGAGTATGTGTATTTCTGTCCAGGAAGCTAATAGGATTTAGGATGGTCTATAGCCAGACCCTGTCAGTTTGTGGTACTTTGCAAAAAAAGCACACACACAAAATAAGTTCCAGATGATAGAAGGGAGCTTTATCTTCATTTCCACCACAGACTAAGCTCTGCTTTATGCCTCTAAGTTTTAGTGGGAGAAAATCCAAGCATCTGCTGCTGCGTGTGCAAGTCAATGGAGAGTCAGAGCCGAGCACCGTGTGGGTCACAGTTTGAGTATCTGTGAAGGAAGTGGGGGCTGAACTGAATTTTTTAACTACATATTTTCTCTGGAATATTTCCATTACATATTTTCTATAACATATATATATAGTTTTTTTTTTTTATCTCCCTAAGGATTTTCTTAGAAATATACACGGAAGTATATTTTTATCTGATCTCTATGACAAATGGCTCGGTGTTATTGATCAAGGCAACGAAGAGGAGAAGATAACTGCAGCCCAGAGGTAATGATGCAATAATTACTCTGGTCACATCTCCAAAATACAGCCCACATACTATTAGGAAAACATTGGCTTACGTTTTGCAGCTTTGCTCACTATAATCATGACCAATGCCAAAGAGTTTCAATTCTTCACACCCATGGGGGCCAGGTTCATAATGGAGACACACTTTAGGGCCATTATCGTTCTTCTCCTGATCTTATTAATGTGGAATCCTTGGCCGTTTTACATCTTTTGGATACATGAAACTGTTAGGGGAAATCCCCTGGTCCAAGACAGATGCAAGAACATCAATTGCCAGGGCTATGACCTTAAAGGTCTGTCAAACATTTAACTAACCAGAGAAGATTTTATCTGGCGCAGGAACTGAAGTCAGGGCAACAATTTTGTATACATTCATGCCTGGAACTCTGCTACAGCGGGTTGTGTGCTAGATATACAAGGATGTATCCTGTTCCCTGTCTTTTTTTTCAACCTCCTAAGTGGAATCACTTGCCTAATTTAGTGTATTTTTCTGACCTTAGGCTTTTACCCCAGCTGCCAAGAGCAAATGTCATTGTCTTGCGATACCTTTTTGGAGTGCTATACAACATTGAGCAACATTCCTCATCCAATCAGATGACAGCTTATAATTTATCCGTTTGTATAGCCCCAAGCGTTCTTTACCCACCTGATTCCGGCAGCTTGGAATTGGAAGACAACTTGATAAAAAAGGTAATGAGAGCTCTCATTTTTGCCCCCATGGGGTAGAATCCCTACTTTGAACCGGATATGTGCAGTTGTAACTCTGACGGATGGAACTATGTGAAGTGCACATTTTCATTAGGCCCCTGTGGAGTGGCAGAGTTCTTTATGCTACTCTGGCGGGGTCTGGGAAGGGGTGTCGTTAAACGGGAAACTCGGAGCAGTCGAGTCACTTCTTCCCCCTCCAGGAGACTAAACACTAGACTGACTAAACGAGAGGGAGAAGAGTCATGTGATACGATAGGAAAGAACCTGGGTTTTGGAGCTTCACCAGTCAAGGTTCAACTCTCAGCCTAATCCCTGAGGGACTCGTAACCTTGGGCAAAGCCATGGTTTCCTCACTACACAATGGCGACAACAGCCAGCTCCTCCGGTCATCACTGGCACATCCTGGGTGGCTTGGGCAATATGAGCCCCCATGGGTCCAACCACATTGGCCTTCCTCTGCCAATTGTGGCTCATCTAGAAAAGTACTCAACTACTATTTCACCCCTGCTACATCTTATGGAAACTAGCAAAAGATTCCAGACCATCCTAACAAGATGACAGGTCTTCCCCAAGCTCACACAGAGAGAGCCAGCATGAGGCAAACCAATGCGTGAGAAGGTACTGAATTTAGACAGACAGATACATTTTCTCTCCAGCTGTGTGGGTTTTCCCTCACAACCCCACCAAAATCTCTGCTTCTCAACTTTAAGATTCTTCTTCATTTAAGAAATGGTTTCTTAAGTTTTCGTTCATACTTTATAAAGTTTCATAAGATGTTATACATCAGTTACAGCTCAATAAAACTGGGAACAAAATTTAAAAACAAAAAACAGGTAAACTTTAATAAGGTAGGCTACTTTGAAAATTATCCTAGTTTTATTTATTTTTTGATATTTATTTTTTTGAGAGAGGGAAAGAGAGCGTGAGCGGGGCAGGGGCAGTAGAAGAGGGAGAGGGAGAAGACCAAGCCAATTCCCTGCTGAGCCCAGAGCTGAAAGTTGGCTCCATGTGGGGCTGGATCTCACCACTATGAGATTGTGATCTGAGCCGAAATCAAGAGTCAGACGCTCAACTGAGGGGCCCCGAAATTTATCCTAGGCTTAAAGATGTAACCACTGATCCCAAAATGTTAGCTATGAAACTAGGCCACACATTAAAACTTTAGCCCACTGATGAGCAGTATTTCAAAATGTGTACCCAAAGTACACGGGAAAGCATCAGTCATTCTAAGTTATTTCCTAGAGAACTCTGGTCTCTATTTTTTTTTTGGTTTTTTTTTTTAAGATTTTATTTATTTACTTGACAGAGAGGGAACTCAAGCAGGGAGAGTGGGAGAGGAAGAAGCAGGCTTCCCGCTGAGCAGGGAGCCAGATATAGGGCTGATCCCAGCACCCTGGGATCATAAGCTGAGCCGAAGGGAGACGCGTAACTGACTGAGCTACCCAGGTGCCCCTGGTTTCTACGTATTTTTATCAACTCTGAATTTTTCTGATAAGTCCTTCACGTTTTTTCTTAGATCCAAGGTCTATATACAAAATGTGTTTTCTAACTATGGCCTATGGAAAAGAACACCCCATTTTTGTCTTTTTGTGTTACAGATTGCTCTTGTACAATTTCTCCTTGAAAATTGCCTCAGGATATTTGGCGAAGACATCACTTCCTTCTTGGGAGAGAAGTCAATGAGTCGTGGTAAGAGCGAGAAGACTGCAGCTACCGGGAATAATTTAATTGGCTTTAGTGAGAAGCAGACAGCAAGGCTGCCAAGGGTCATGGGAGATGCATAGACAGTGCTGTTCTGGAGCCCAGAGCATCGCCAGGGCAATGATTTCCATGTGCTCCTTCTTCCAAAGGCTGGCTCACAGGTCAAGGGAGGTTCCACACTGTTGTGAGACCAAAGAAAGGATAAGATGAAGTCTCTGACTTCAAGAAGTTCCTAGGGTAGATCATAAAGGCATTAGGACTCATCATGGTATGCCATAGTGTTTGGGAATTTTTTCTAACAAAATTCTAATAGGGTGCTATACATATATATACATATATATTTGTATATATATGTATATATGTAATAACGAATCAGAAAAGCCTCAGTACAGGATGTATGTATATGTATGTATATATTTGTATATGCATATATATATGTAAAACACATCAAACATATGTATGTAGTTATATATAATATATAATTAGATACTTATACTATATAAATATATTATCATAATATATATATTTATGTATATTAGAAGTGCTCTGGTTGAAGCCAGAGAAGGGGCCTTTCTTCCCCTCCGTCCTCTTTTGGCTCAGGGGCTCTTGAGGCACCACAGGATTCCAGTGGCTTTAAAATGGGTTGAAAAGAACTGGCATCATTGAGAAAAAAGGACTTGACTTGATGTCAAACTACCTCTCCAGAGTGTAAATTCCTGTGCCCGCATTTACCAGCTATATTATCTTTGCCCAGTTATACCACCTCAGCATCAGTTAATTCATCTCTAAATATGGATAAAAATAATGTCTAAATCTTAGAATTGTTGTGTAGAATAAATAAGATGATGGATGTAATCCAAAAAAAGCCATTAATATGACTAGGAGAAGTGCCCCTGAGACTAAAGCTAGTATGTTTTGAGCCTAGCTAATAACAGCTGTCAGCAGTCCACCTTGGAAGGTAGACTTTCGATTCAGAACCTGTAGACACGTATCATCAATCCCTCCATATTTCTGACATTTCTTGGTTTTATGATGCTTACGACATTGATTTGAGGAAATCTTTAGGAAAATACAAGTCATCAGGAATTAAGATGAGTCTGGGGCACTTGGGTGGCTCAGTCGTTAAGTAACTGCCTTCAGCTCAGGTCATGATCTCGGGGTCCTGGGATCGAGCCCCGCATCGGGCTCCCTGCTCCGAGGGAAGCCTGCTTCTCCCTCTCCCCGTCCCCCTGCTTGTGTTCCCTCTCTCGCTGTCTCTCTCCCTCTATCAAAATATAAATAAAATCTGTAAAAAAAAAAAAAAAAAAAGGAAGAAGAAGTTTCAGCGGATTAAAGAACAACTACTACCACTAGTACTCTCTCTTCTTCCTTAGACTCCGGCCAGAAAACTGTGAAAAGCTGTTCCTTCAGAGACAGGGCCTTTTGGTGGGGCTCCAGCACTTGCCAGCAAAACCAGTGCACAGCCCCACATTCTGCAAAGCCAGGAGAGCTCTTTGGAGTTTGCCTCATGGTTGTGTGTTATAAAGACAACCTGGCCTTCCCAATTCTGGTAGGTCATCTCATTTTGGTCTTCTATAGCTCTTCTGAGGTGCGGAAACACTGAGAGGCCATGTGTCCTCATCCAAATCTATCCCGAAATAGAGAAGTCCTTAGACAGCCCTGGTTTTGGCTCAGAAGCTCTGTTACTGTTATTTCAAGGAACAGAATCTGACTAAGGTCCAGCAGAGTCATGAGGCAAATACAACAGGAAAAGACATTCTTGTCCATTCTACTTGGGTCTTCTTTCTGCAAAAACCCACCGAGGCCTGTTCAGATGAGTCAAAATGACTCTGTGTATGTGAGTCTCTGAGAGTCCACCTCATCTTCACACTCTCCCTTCACTGCCTTCCTGCACTCACATGAGTCTCAAGTCTCCTTCAACGGAGTCTACTCAGTCTAACAACTGCAAACATCTGACACGAGCATAGACTCATCCTCTGGCAAATAGGAATCTGTTAATCCTAACAGAATATGTCAAATGAAAGCCACAGAGTTTGGCCTGTGTTATCTCAAACTGCTCTAGTGAATTGTCAGTGTGGACATTCACTGAGTATTTGGTGTCTCTGCAAGCACTGTATGGGATGTAGGGAACGTTGTGCTAGCTATGAAGAAATGTATCGTATTAGCTAGCATGTTACCTGCTACCTACTACCCCAGGTCCTTGCATCACAGCAAATTTAGGGGCTAGCTAGGATTATCATCCTCCGCACTGCCTAAACGAATCAGAAAAGCCTCAGTACAGGATGTATGTGCCCCAGCTCACACAATAGATAAGTAGCATAATAGACTTCAGATCCGTTGGATTCCCTGAGTCCAGCCCTTATTAAGATTCTACACAGCAGAGAGAGGACATGAAGATAGAGCAAAAGACAATGAAAGACTCATGAGAAGGGAGGGTAATCAGAGAAGGGGAAGAGAGTTTCTGAGCCTGACTTTAAATGAAGGGAAGGAAATAGAACAAGTAGGAATGGAGTATACAGTCACTTAAAGAGAAATAAACAAATGGGAAATGAGTATTTCCTAAATAGACTTCCATACTTCGGGAAGAGCATCTACGTAAGGGAATAATGAGAAAAGAATGGTAAAGTAGGAAACACATGGTGATTGCACAAAGGCCTTGAAGCAGAGAAGTTTGATTTAAGAGTGGAAACTCAATGGAAAGGAAAATCTGATTAAAAGAAGTGTTTAAAATGTTTCAGTGTATGACTGTAAAATGGATATTTGGGTAGAAAGTATATAGAGAGACACTGAAAAAAAAAAACAAAAAACATTCTAAATTGACTTTGGTCCTTCCTGCTCTAAAACAGTGTACCATTACATTCCCCTCCTCTTTCAAAACGGAGGCAAGCTTGTGCTCTGCGTGTGTGGATATGAGATGCCATATACTTTTCTTTTCTTCCTACAGGCTATGCTTTCCTTTATTAATCAAAAAGGGCCCATCACAGAAGGCATATTCAGAAACTCAGCCAATATAAAATCCTGCCATGTCCTAAAGGAGAAACTAAATTCTGGGGTCAAAGTGAACCCGTACAGCGAATCTGTTCATGTGGTCGCATCCGTCTTAAAGGTAGGGAAGGTCCTAGCATTATCCACACACGAGTAACTGAAGCTATGATTGGTGTCCTTCATCATGACTGCTCAAGAACCATAACGGGCGTAATAGATTAAGAACCTGACAAGCTGAAAAACGCTTGACAAAATCAAAATTTAAGGAAGCTACTTTTGGAGTTAAAAGCCCCATGTGTTAGAAATACTTTCTGTTTTGACTACACACCGCCCTCCCCACCTTCACTCCTGAAGACTCCATGCAAAATACTAATACTGAAATGACTACTAGTCATGATAATAAATTTCAAAATACGCACCGATACATACACACAGTTTACCCATGAAAACATCCTCACCACCCTCCTAATGAAGGCAAACTTTCCAAAAGAAATAGAACAGGGAAAGAATTTAATCCATCCACCTTGGCACTTATGAACAGGTCTGAACAACCCTATGTTAACGTAGTAATGACTACGGTCGTAGAATCTCAGTCTCATTTGCTCTTCCCTTGTCCCCCGTTAATGTTTGAAGATGTGATCAATAGCAAGGTCCAGAAATGACTTAGGTAACCACTCCTACACTGGGGCCATAGTGATATCCAGTAGTAATATACATACAGGCATCAGGAGACAGGAGAAGAATGATGATACACTAGGTAGCGAGATGAGTGTTGCCCTCTGTAAGGTGCACACATGGAATCGATTTTCTAGCAAGAGTTAGGAGGTTCTTTCCTGATTCCGTGTTATAAGCACCGACTAGGAAGAGGGTGAGCACTTGTGGGGAGAGTGCTTAGACATTTCTAAAGTTTTCTCTTCCTGAAGTTGACGGAATTTGGTGGAGAATCAGACTCTGCAACCTTGGCCTTGATAATATCATGGCAAACTAACTGGACAATTGTCCTAAACTAGAAATGAATCTATCCTCAGGACCACAGTGAGTCTGCCATTAGACTCTCGACTTTTAGACAGTTAAGAAAAGGAAGAATGAAGCAATTGTGAGAGTAGCTTTCTTCCAGGGAGCACGCATACCCCGAGTGAGAAGACCTAGTTCTTTCCTAATATGTGTGCAAGAGCCCACCTGTTTGTGTTTTGATTGTTTCAGGCCTTTTCTTGCTAGAGTTAAGAGCTAGCACCTTGTGTAAAACAAGCAACATGGGTATGTGTATTTCTGTCCAGGAAGCTAATAGGATTTAGGATGGTCTATAGCCAGACCCTGTCAGTTTATGGTACTTTGCAAAAAAAAAGCACACACACAAAATAAGTTCCAGATGATAGAAAGGAGCTTTATCTTCATTTCCACCACAGGCTAAGCTCTGATTTTTGCCTCTAAGTTTTAGCGGGAGAAAATCCAAGCACCTGCTCCTGCGTGTGCAAGTCAATGGAGAGTCAGAGCTGAGCTCCGTGTGGGTCCCAGTTTGGGTATCTGTGAAGGAAGTGGGGGCTGAACTGAATTTTTTAACTATATATTTTCTCTGGAATATTTCCACTACATATTTTCTATAATATATACACATATTTTTTTATCTCCCTAAGGACTTTCTAAGAAACATCCCAGGAAGTGTATTTTTATCTGATCTCTATGACAAATGGCTCGGTGTTATTGATCAAGGCAACAAAGAGGAGATGATAACTGCAGCTCGGAGGTAACGATGCAATAATTACTCTACTCTGGTCACATCTCCAAAATACACCCAACATACTATCAGGAAAACATTGGCTTACGTTTTCCAGCTTTGCCCACTATAATCATGACCAACACCAAAGAATTTCGAGTCTTCACACCCATGGGGCCCAGCTTCAGAATAGAGGCACACTTTAGGGCTGTTATTGTTCTTCTCCTGATCTTATTAATGTGGACTCCTTGGCCGTTTTACACCTTCTGGATCCTTGAAACTGGTAGACAAAATTCCCTGGTCCGAGACAGATCAAGAGCAACAACTGCCAGGGCTATGACCTTAAAAGTCTGTCAGACATTTAACTAACCAGAGAAGTGTTTATCTGGCTCAGGAACTGAATTCAGTGCAACAATTTTGTCTACATTCATGCATGGAACTCTGCTACAGCGGGTGGTGTGCTAGATATACAAGGATGTATCCTGTTCCCTGTCTCTGTTTTTCCAACCTCCTAAGTGGAATCACTTGCCTAATTTAAAAGTGTGTTTTTTTGACTTTAGGCTTTTAGCCCAGCTGCCAAGAGCAAATGTTGTTCTCTTGCGATACCTTTTTGGAGTGCTATACAACATTGAGCAACATTCCTCATCCAATCAGATGAAACCTTATAATTTATCCGTTTGTATAGCCCCAAGCGTTCTTTACCCACCTGATTCCGGCAGCTTGGAATTGGAAGACAACTTGATAAGAAAGGTAATGAGAGCTCTCATTTTTGTCCCCCAGGGGGTAGAATCCCTACTTTGACCCGGACATGTGCAGTAGTAACTCTGACAGAAGGAACTTTGTGAAGTGCACATTTTCATTAGGCCCCTGTGGAGTGGCAGAGTTCTTTATGCTACTCTGGCGGGGTCTGGGAAGGGCTGTCGTTAAACGGGAAACTCGGAGCAGTCGAGTCACTTCTTCCCCCTCCAGGAGACTAAACACTAGACTGACTAAACGAGAGAGAGAAGAGTCGTGTGATACGATAGGAAAGAACCTGGGTTTTGGAGCTTCACCAGTCAAGGTTCAACTCTCAGCCTAATCCCTGAGGGACTCGTAACCTTGGGCAAAGCCATGGTTTCCTCACTACACAATGGCGACAACAGCCAGCTCCTCCGGTCATCACTGGCACATCCTGGGTGGCTTGGGCAATATGAGCCCCCATGCCTCCAAACACATTGGCCTTCCTCTGCCAATTGTGGCTCATCTAGAAAAGTACTCGGCTACTATTTCACCTCTGCTACATCATATGGAAACTAGCAAGAGATTCCAGAATATCCTAATAAGATGACAGGTCTTCCCCAAGCTCACCCAGAGAGAGCCAGCATGAGGCAAAGCAATGCGTGAGAAGGGACTGAAGTTAGACAGACAGATACGTTTTCTCTCCAGCTGTGTGGGTTTTCCCTCACAACCCCACCAAAATCCCTGCTTCCCAACTTTATGATACTTCTTCATTTAAGAAATGGTTTTCTTAAGTTGTCGTTCATACTTTATAAAGTTTCATAAGATGGTATACATCAGTTACAGCTCAGTAAAACTGGAAACAAAATTTAAAAGCAAAAAATAAGTAAACTTTAATAAGGTAGGCTACTTTGAAAATTATCCTTGTTTTATTTATATTTTGATATGTATTTATTTGAGAGAGGGAAAGAGAGAGCGTGAGCGGGGCAGGGGCAGAAGAAGAGGGAGAGGGAGAGGGAGAAGCCCAAGCCCATTCCCCGCTGAGCACGGAGCCCAAAGTTGGCTCCATGTGGGGCTGGATCTCACCACCATGAGATCGTGATCTGCGCCGAAATCAAGAGTCAGACGCCCAACAGAGGGGCCCCGAAATTTATCCTAGTCTTAAAGACGTAACCACTGATCCCAAAATGTTAGCTCTTAAAGTAGGCCACGCATTATAACTTTAGCCCACGGATGGGCAGTATTTTAAAATGTGTACCCAAAGTACACGGGAAAGTATCACTCTTTCTAAGGTATTACTGAGAGAACTCTGGTTTCTATGTGTTTCTGTTTTTTTGTGTTTTTTTTTTTAAACTTTTATTTATTTACTTGACTGAGAGAGTCACAGCGAGAGAGGGAACACAAGCAGGGGGAGTGGGAGAGGGAGAAGCAGGCTTCCCGCTGAGCAGGGAGCCCGATGTAGGGCTGATCCCAGCACCCTGGGATTATGACCTGAGCCGAACGCAGACGCTTAACCGACTGAGCCACCCAGGCGCCCCTGGTTTCTACGTATTTTTATCAAGTCTGAATTTTACTGGGAAGTCCTTCCCATTTTTTCTTAGATCCAAGGTCTGTATACAAAATGTGATTTATAACTATGCCCTATGGAAAACAGCACCCCATTCTCGTCTTTTTGTGTTACAGATTTGTCTTGTACAATTTCTCATTGAAAATTGCCTCAGGATATTTGGAGAAGACATCACTTCCCTCTTGGGCGAGAACTCAATGAGTCGTGGTAACAGCGAGAAGGCTGCAGGTACCGGGAGTAATTTAATTGGCTTTAGTGAGAAGCAGACAGCAAGGTTGCCAGGGGTCATGGGAGATGCTTAGACAGAGCTGTTCTGGAGCCCAGAGCATCGCCAGGGCAAGGATTTCCATGGGCTCCTTCTTCCGAAGGCTGGCTCACAGGTCAAGGGAGGTTCCACACTGTTGTGAGACCAAAGAAAGGATAAGATGAGGTGTCTGACTTCAAGAAGTTTCTAGTGTAGATCATAAGGGCATTAGGACTCATCATGGTATGCTACAGTGTTTGGGAATTTTTTCTAACAAAATTCTAAGTGGGTGCTATATATCTATATATATATACAACATCATACATATATATGTAGTTATATAGATATATAATATATAATTAGATACTTATACTATATAAATATAACCATAGTATATATATTTATGTATATTAGATGTGCTCTGGTTGAAGCCAGAGCAAGGGGCCTTTCTTCCCCTCCCTCCTCTTTTGGCTCAGGGGCTCTTGAGGCACCACAGGATTCCAGTGCCCTTTGAAACAGGTTGAAAAGAACTGGCATCATTGAGAAAAAAGGACTTGACTTGATGTCAAAAAACCTCTCCAGAGTGTAAAGTCCTGTGCCCCCATTTACCAGCTATATTACCTTTGATCAGTTTTTCTAGCTCAGCATCAGTTTATTCATCTATAAATGTGGATAAAAATAATGTCTAAATCTTAGAATTGTGGTAAACACTAAATAAGATGATGGATGGAATCCAAAAAAAGCCATTAATAGGACTAGGAGAAGTGCCCCTGAGACTAGAGCTAGTACGATTTGAGCCTAGCTAATCACAGCTACCTGGCAGCAGTCCACCTTAGAAGGTAGACTTTTGATTCAGAACCTGGAGACACGTATCATCAATCCCTCCATATTTCTGACATTTCTTGGTTTTATGATGCTTACCACATTGCTCTGAGGAAATCTTTAGGAAAATACAAGTCATCAGGAATTAAGATGTGTCTGGGACGCCTGGGTGGCTCAGTCATTAAGCGTCTGCCTTCAGCTCAGGTCATGATGCCGGGGTCCTGGGATCGAGCCCCGCATCGGGCTCCCTGCTCCGAGGGAAGCCTGCTTCTCCCTCTCCCCCTCCCCCTGCTTGTGTTCCCTCTCTCGCTGTCTCTCTCCCTCTTTCAAAATATAAATAAAATCTGTAAAAAAAAAAAAAAAAAAAAAAAAAGGAAAATGAAGGTTCCGCGTATTAAACAACAACTACTACTACTAGTACGCTCTCTTCTTCCTTAGACTCCGGCCGTAAGACTGTGACAAGCCGTTCTCTCAGTGACAGGGCCTTTTGTCAGGGTTCCAGCACTTGTCAGCACAACCAGTGCACAGCCCCACCTTCCGCAGAGCCAGGACAGCTCTTTGGAGTTCCCCTCATGGATGTGTGTGATAAAGACAACTTGCCCTTCCCAATTCTGGTAGGTCATCTCCTTTTGGTCTTCTACAGCCCTCCTGAGGAGGGGAAACTCTGAGAGGCCACGTGTCCTCATCCAAATGTATCCCCAAATGGAGAAGTCATTAGACGGCCCCTGGCTTTGGCTGAGAAGCTCTGTTACTGTTATTTCAAGGAACAGAATCTGACTTAGGTCCAGCAGAGTCATGAGGCAAATACAACAGGAAAAGACATTCTTGTCCATTCCACTTGGGTTTTGTTTCCGCAAAGACCCACCGAGGCCTGTTCAGATCAGTCAAAATGACTCTGTGTATGTGAGTCTCTGAGAGTCCACCTCATCTTCACACTCTCCCTTCATTGCCTTCCTGCACTCACATGAGTCTCAAGTCTCCTTCAACGGAGTCTACTCAGTCTAACAACTGCAAACATCTGACACGAGCATAGACTCATCCTCTGGCAAATAGGAATCTGTTAATCCTAACAGAATATGTCAAATGAAAGCCACAGAGTTTGGCCTGTGTTATCTCAAACTGCTGTAGTGAATTGTCAGTGTGGACCTTCACTGAGTATTCGGTGTCTCTGCAAGCACTGTACGGGATGTAGGGAACGTTCTCCTAGCTATGAAGAAATGTATCATATTAGCTACTTTGTTACCTGCTAGCTACTACCCCAGGTCCTTGCATCGCAGCAAATTTAGGGGCTAGCTAGGATTATCATCCTCCACACTTCCTAACCGAATCAGAGAAGCCTCAATACAGGATGTAAGTGACCCAGCTCACACAATAGATAAGTAGCATAATAGACTTCAGATCCGTTGGATTCCCTGAGTCCAGCCCTTATAAAGATTCTACACAGCAGAGAGAGGACATGAAGATAGAGCAAAAGACAATTTAAGACTCATGAGAAGGGAGGGTAATCAGAGAAGGAGAAGAGAGTTTCTGAGCCTGACTTTAAAAGAGGGAAGGAAATAGAACAAGTAGGAAAGGAGTATACAGTCACTTAAAGAGAAATAAACAAATGGGAAATGAGTATTCCCTAAATAGACTTCCATACTTGGGGAAGAGCATCTACGTAGGGGAATAATGAGAAAAGAATGGTAAAGTAGGAAACAGACGGTGATTCCGCAAAGGCCTTGAAGCAGAGAAGTTTGATTTAAGAGTGGAAACTCAATGGAAAGGAAAATCTGATTAAAAGAAGTGTTTAAAATGTTTCAGTGTATGACTGTAAAATGGATATTTCGGTAGAAAGTATATAGAGAGACACTGAAAAAAAAAACAAAAAACATTCTAAATTGACTTTGGTCCTTCCCGCTCTAAAACAGTGTACCATTACATTCCCCTCCTCTTTCAAAACGGAGGCAAGCTTATGCTCTGCGTGTGTGGATATGAGATGCCATATACTTTTCTTTTCTTCCTACAGGCTATGCTTTCCTTTATTAATCAAAAAGGGCCCCTCACAGAAGGCATATTCAGAAACTCAGCCAATATAAAATCCTGCCATGTCCTAAAGGAGAAACTAAATTCTGGGGTCAAAGTGAACCCGTACAGCGAATCTGTTCATGTGGTCGCATCCGTCTTAAAGGTAGGGAAGGTCCTAGCATTATCCACACACGAGTAACTGAAGCTATGATTGGTGTCCTTCATCATGACTGCTCAAGAACCATAACGGGCATAATAGATTAAGAACCTGACAAGCTGAAAAACGCTTGACAAAATCAAAATTTAAGGAAGCTACTTTTGGAGTTAAAAGCCCCATGTGTTAGAAATACTTTCTGTTTTGACTACACACCGCCCTCCCCACCTTCACTCCTGAAGACTCCATGCAAAATACTAATACTGAAATGACTACTAGTCATGATAATAAATTTCAAAATACGCACCGATACATACACACAGTTTACCCATGAAAACATCCTCACCACCCTCCTAATGAAGGCAAACTTTCCAAAAGAAATAGAACAGGGAAAGAATTTAATCCATCCACCTTGGCACTTATGAACAGGTCTGAACAACCCTATGTTAACGTAGTAATGACTACGGTCGTAGAATCTCAGTCTCATTTGCTCTTCCCTTGTCCCCCGTTAATGTTTGAAGATGTGATCAATAGCAAGGTCCAGAAATGACTTAGGTAACCACTCCTACACTGGGGCCATAGTGATATCCAGTAGTAATATACATACAGGCATCAGGAGACAGGAGAAGAATGATGATACACTAGGTAGCAAGATGAGTGTTGCCCTCTGTAAGGTGCACACATGGAATCGATTTTCTAGCAAGAGTTAGGAGGTTCTTTCCTGATTCCGTGTTATAAGCACCGACTAGGAAGAGGGTGAGCACTTGTGGGGAGAGTGCTTAGACATTTCTAAAGTTTTCTCTTCCTGAAGTTGACGGATCTTGGTGGAGAATCAGACTCTGCAACCTTGGCCTTGATAATATCATGGCAAACTAACTGGACAATTGTCCTAAACTAGAAATGAATCTATCCTCAGGACCACAGTGAGTCTGCCATTAGACTCTCGACTTTTAGACAGTTAAGAAAAGGAAGAATGAAGCAATTGTGAGAGTAGCTTTCTTCCAGGGAGCACGCATACCCCGAGTGAGAAGACCTAGTTCTTTCCTAATATGTGTGCAAGAGCCCACCTGTTTGTGTTTTGATTGTTTCAGGCCTTTTCTTGCTAGAGTTAAGAGCTAGCACCTTGTCTAAAACAAGCAACATGGGTATGTGTATTTCTGTCCAGGAAGCTAATAGGATTTAGGATGGTCTATAGCCAGACCCTGTCAGTTTATGGTACTTTGCAAAAAAAAAGCACACACACAAAATAAGTTCCAGATGATAGAAAGGAGCTTTATCTTCATTTCCACCACAGGCTAAGCTCTGCTTTTTGCCTCTAAGTTTTAGCGGGAGAAAATCCAAGCACCTGCTCCTGCGTGTGCAAGTCAATGGAGAGTCAGAGCTGAGCTCCGTGTGGGTCCCAGTTTGGGTATCTGTGAAGGAAGTGGGGGCTGAACTGAATTTTTTAACTATATATTTTCTCTGGAATATTTCCACTACATATTTTCTATAATATATACACATATTTTTTTATCTCCCTAAGGACTTTCTAAGAAACATCCCAGGAAGTGTATTTTTATCTGATCTCTATGACAAATGGCTCGGTGTTATTGATCAAGGCAACAAAGAGGAGATGATAACTGCAGCTCGGAGGTAACGATGCAATAATTACTCTACTCTGGTCACATCTCCAAAATACACCCAACATACTATCAGGAAAACATTGGCTTACGTTTTCCAGCTTTGCCCACTATAATCATGACCAACACCAAAGAATTTCGAGTCTTCACACCCATGGGGCCCAGCTTCAGAATAGAGGCACACTTTAGGGCTATTATTGTTCTTCTCCTGATCTTATTAATGTGGACTCCTTGGCCGTTTTACACCTTCTGGATCCTTGAAACTGGTAGACAAAATTCCCTGGTCCGAGACAGATCAAGAGCAACAACTGCCAGGGCTATGACCTTAAAAGTCTGTCAGACATTTAACTAACCAGAGAAGTGTTTATCTGGCTCAGGAACTGAATTCAGTGCAACAATTTTGTCTACATTCATGCATGGAACTCTGCTACAGCGGGTGGTGTGCTAGATATACAAGGATGTATCCTGTTCCCTGTCTCTGTTTTTCCAACCTCCTAAGTGGAATCACTTGCCTAATTTAAAAGTGTGTTTTTTTGACTTTAGGCTTTTAGCCCAGCTGCCAAGAGCAAATGTTGTTCTCTTGCGATACCTTTTTGGAGTGCTATACAACATTGAGCAACATTCCTCATCCAATCAGATGAAACCTTATAATTTATCCGTTTGTATAGCCCCAAGCGTTCTTTACCCACCTGATTCCGGCAGCTTGGAATTGGAAGACAACTTGATAAGAAAGGTAATGAGAGCTCTCATTTTTGTCCCCCAGGGGGTAGAATCCCTACTTTGACCCGGACATGTGCAGTAGTAACTCTGACAGAAGGAACTTTGTGAAGTGCACATTTTCATTAGGCCCCTGTGGAGTGGCAGAGTTCTTTATGCTACTCTGGCGGGGTCTGGGAAGGGCTGTCGTTAAACGGGAAACTCGGAGCAGTCGAGTCACTTCTTCCCCCTCCAGGAGACTAAACACTAGACTGACTAAACGAGAGAGAGAAGAGTCGTGTGATACGATAGGAAAGAACCTGGGTTTTGGAGCTTCACCAGTCAAGGTTCAACTCTCAGCCTAATCCCTGAGGGACTCGTAACCTTGGGCAAAGCCATGGTTTCCTCACTACACAATGGCGACAACAGCCAGCTCCTCCGGTCATCACTGGCACATCCTGGGTGGCTTGGGCAATATGAGCCCCCATGCCTCCAAACACATTGGCCTTCCTCTGCCAATTGTGGCTCATCTAGAAAAGTACTCGGCTACTATTTCACCTCTGCTACATCATATGGAAACTAACAAGAGATTCCAGAATATCCTAATAAGATGACAGGTCTTCCCCAAGCTCACCCAGAGAGAGCCAGCATGAGGCAAAGCAATGCGTGAGAAGGGACTGAAGTTAGACAGACAGATACGTTTTCTCTCCAGCTGTGTGGGTTTTCCCTCACAACCCCACCAAAATCCCTGCTTCCCAACTTTATGATACTTCTTCATTTAAGAAATGGTTTTCTTAAGTTGTCGTTCATACTTTATAAAGTTTCATAAGATGGTATACATCAGTTACAGCTCAGTAAAACTGGAAACAAAATTTAAAAGCAAAAAATAAGTAAACTTTAATAAGGTAGGCTACTTTGAAAATTATCCTTGTTTTATTTATATTTTGATATGTATTTATTTGAGAGAGGGAAAGAGAGAGCGTGAGCGGGGCAGGGGCAGAAGAAGAGGGAGAGGGAGAGGGAGAAGCCCAAGCCCATTCCCCGCTGAGCACGGAGCCCAAAGTTGGCTCCATGTGGGGCTGGATCTCACCACCATGAGATCGTGATCTGCGCCGAAATCAAGAGTCAGACGCCCAACAGAGGGGCCCCGAAATTTATCCTAGTCTTAAAGACGTAACCACTGATCCCAAAATGTTAGCTCTTAAAGTAGGCCACGCATTATAACTTTAGCCCACGGATGGGCAGTATTTTAAAATGTGTACCCAAAGTACACGGGAAAGTATCACTCTTTCTAAGTTATTACTGAGGGAACTCTGGTTTCTATGTGTTTCTGTTTTTTTGTGTTTTTTTTTAAAACTTTTATTTATTTACTTGACTGAGAGAGTCACAGCGAGAGAGGGAACACAAGCAGGGGGAGTGGGAGAGGGAGAAGCAGGCTTCCCGCTGAGCAGGGAGCCCGATGTAGGGCTGATCCCAGCACCCTGGGATTATGACCTGAGCCGAACGCAGACGCTTAACCGACTGAGCCACCCAGGCGCCCCTGGTTTCTACGTATTTTTATCAAGTCTGAATTTTACTGGGAAGTCCTTCCCATTTTTTCTTGGATCCAAGGTCTGTATACAAAATGTGATTTATAACTATGCCCTATGGAAAACAGCACCCCATTCTCGTCTTTTTGTGTTACAGATTTGTCTTGTACAATTTCTCATTGAAAATTGCCTCAGGATATTTGGAGAAGACATCACTTCCCTCTTGGGCGAGAACTCAATGAGTCGTGGTAACAGCGAGAAGGCTGCAGGTACCGGGAGTAATTTAATTGGCTTTAGTGAGAAGCAGACAGCAAGGTTGCCAGGGGTCATGGGAGATGCTTAGACAGAGCTGTTCTGGAGCCCAGAGCATCGCCAGGGCAAGGATTTCCATGGGCTCCTTCTTCCGAAGGCTGGCTCACAGGTCAAGGGAGGTTCCACACTGTTGTGAGACCAAAGAAAGGATAAGATGAGGTGTCTGACTTCAAGAAGTTTCTAGTGTAGATCATAAGGGCATTAGGACTCATCATGGTATGCTACAGTGTTTGGGAATTTTTTCTAACAAAATTCTAAGTGGGTGCTATATATCTATATATATATACAACATCATACATATATATGTAGTTATATAGATATATAATATATAATTAGATACTTATACTATATAAATATAACCATAGTATATATATTTATGTATATTAGATGTGCTCTGGTTGAAGCCAGAGCAAGGGGCCTTTCTTCCCCTCCCTCCTCTTTTGGCTCAGGGGCTCTTGAGGCACCACAGGATTCCAGTGCCCTTTGAAACAGGTTGAAAAGAACTGGCATCATTGAGAAAAAAGGACTTGACTTGATGTCAAAAAACCTCTCCAGAGTGTAAAGTCCTGTGCCCCCATTTACCAGCTATATTACCTTTGATCAGTTTTTCTAGCTCAGCATCAGTTTATTCATCTATAAATGTGGATAAAAATAATGTCTAAATCTTAGAATTGTGGTAAACACTAAATAAGATGATGGATGGAATCCAAAAAAAGCCATTAATAGGACTAGGAGAAGTGCCCCTGAGACTAGAGCTAGTACGATTTGAGCCTAGCTAATCACAGCTACCTGGCAGCAGTCCACCTTAGAAGGTACACTTTTGATTCAGAACCTGGAGACACGTATCATCAATCCCTCCATATTTCTGACATTTCTTGGTTTTATGATGCTTACCACATTGCTTTGAGGAAATCTTTAGGAAAATACAAGTCATCAGGAATTAAGATGTGTCTGGGACGCCTGGGTGGCTCAGTCATTAA